TGGGACATTTTTATTGATCATTCTGACTTGAGGCTGTGAAAATAGAAACAAAATTCCAAACATGTCTAAAATCCAAGGGAACCCTAAGAGCTCACTTGCTTTGACCTTTTGAATTAATAGTTGTTCCTTGAAGGAGAAGAAATAAGAACAGAAAATATGGTATGAGTCTTATCACAAAATAAAATTTAATATATTTTACGGACGGAAATAAAGTAAGTTACATCCACAGATTGCAAGGCTATGAAATAAATTGCTGGAAGAGTATAAGCAGCAAGTTAAAAAGATGGTAGATGAAATAAATCTGATCAAACTTAGGACTAAATCTATATACTTTTAAAAAATACAACTGCCAAATTTAACAGTGGATTTTCTTATAAGTTTGTGCTATAACAAATGTGCTTCTTTCTCCTCAATCTATTTTCATATTATTGGCAAAATATATATATATATTTTATAATTTTTTACTGTACAATATATGTTTTTGCTACATTATTTTCCTACTGCTAATGCAGATTAGAAGTAACAACATAGATTTATTTTGGCAATAAAATGCTTTCATTTTAATAACGTCCCAGAAAATATTGTAAGGCATATGAAAAATAGTATGCAACAATATAGCGTTAATGATCCCGCATCTTAATACATCCCTATGCATACAGAATTCACACTGATTTCAGTTAAAAGTGTTTGAAAGTGGCATGCAAGTAGGACGAGAGTGGCCCCTACACAAATGTAGACATAGCCATTTGTTGAGAAATTTAAGTGTTCAAAACATAACCAGGAACACTTACAAAGTACTAAAAAGCTAGAGGCCAGCCACTTTTGGTTCTTAGCCAGTTCTCATTTGAACTCCTTGTAATTTTCAGGAGGAAGTATCAGTGTATTCCCCAAACCACTCAAAATTCACTAGGACCACTTTCTACCATCTTTCTGCAAACATTTTATATATATCAACAGAAACAAAAGAAAAGTTTCATAAGTAACTATGATTCCCCAAACTCATTGCCATTCACTCGTATAAATGGCATTTTTACATTTTTCATGGCAAGAAAGAGTTACAGCCCTTAATTAAGATAAGATGATAGATACTTGTTAGTCTTGTCATACTATCATACTATCCCTAAATTACACGAGGCATTTGGGATGAAATCATCTGCAAGTGGATGCAGATAGTTGCTATTAGAGGATGTATTTCATTTGAGAAATTTGTTTAATAAAGGAAGATAACTTTTTAAAGAAATTTTTGAATGCTGTAGCTCTGACCATATAAATAAATTTTACTGTTTTAACTAATTGGACTGTTGAAATCAACAAGAATTAACTGACTAATACCTGTTGTGTTGACTGCTTTAATCATCACTTAGGAGAGGACAAAGGAGTTTTTTGTCCCATAGACACGGCTCGAGGAACTTAGTAACAGTTTGACAGTATTTAAAGGTATGAACTGACAAAACAGATTTTATTATATAATTTCCTATAAAGTTTTCATTCAAAGATGATTTTTATGTAATTTATAAAAACCATCATGCAACATTGTCATGAAAGAGAAAGGCAAACATATAAAAGGAATACAGGTTACATAAACATTGACTTGAAATATTGATATGAAGTTTGTTCCACTTACACGGGAGTCCAGATAATGCAAACCCTTTCCCAGTAAATGGCTAAGTCATGCTCTAGGTACCCATAGAAGTCTAGGATCAACAATATTAGAACTTGCAAGCCAGTTGCACTTAAACATCAAGTCTCTGAACCTACTCTCTTTTTAAGCTGAGAGCTAAATATTCTAACAGGTTACACATAAAGGCAACTCTCTTGCAGTCTGTTTTATTCTCTATGAACTTATTTGTTAAGTTAGCCTTGCCTCATAATAAACTGTGAACTGAGTCTAAGAAATTTCACTGACATGAAAGAGATGAAAGGGCAACAAGAACATTTTGGACACAGTTTAAAGGGAACGCATATTTTAAGACGTGATGCACTGAGCTGTGCAGCAAGGTTAGCAGTTATTGTTATAAATTTGATCATTACTTATTGACAAGTGTTTTTCCCTTAAAAGACAGATTGTCTTCTCTAGAGAAGAGGTAGTATACATATCAATATTTAGGGCAATTTCTCTGGTGGTATTAAGCTTTATTTCTTAGCAAATACCAGAATAAAATTGTATAACTAATAATGTACCCTAGCATGCAAATTAAGGTAGCCTAGAAATATTCTTAACTGACATCCTAGGTCTCAACATTTTCTGATATGTTCATTTGAAGAGTTTAAATTTGCAAACCACCTTTTGGCATAATTTCCTCATTTCACTCCCATACATTGCCCCCTCTTATTATAAATTTTAAGGCCCCCACATAAAAGACAAGTTCAAGTATGCAGGTATGAAAAGAGGTTAACATTCCAAAAATACATTTTGCAAACAACAACTGTAACAAAGTAAATAACAAATTATTTAAAGGGAACAGATAATTATCTTATACTTTGTTTCACGTTTAAAAAATTCATTTCATTAAGGACGAAATGCAATGACATAAAGTCACAAATTAAGACTCTCTTATTAGGAAAGACCATCAGTCTAGATTGTTAATCATTTCAATCTTCTTTCCAATAGAACTGTATAAAGATAAGAGAGAAACATCAGTCATTTATAAACATTTCTAAGTGTTGCCTTAAACACTAGAGTAAACAAGATAACATTGTTGATTATAATATTGGAGTCACATTATAGTCTTGAAAATTAACATCAGGATTGACAAATTGCATTAATTTTTTCTCAGAACTACATTTCCATATGGTCACATGAGTCTACATTGTTACACATCTGCTGACCGAAATTACAGAATTTTAGTATGTGGTTTATACTACAAGTTAAAACAGCCTCAAAACAGTATAAGACTTCTTCCTCCTGCTTAAAATCATCTGCTATTTTTAAGTGAAATTAATTATAAACAAGTATTTAGGGAATATGTATTTTTTAAAGGTGCTTGTGCACTTGGCAAAAATAAAATTTTCATTTAGTATGTATCTGAATTTTAGTATCATTTACAAAATAAACTCTCAGGCTTTAAAAAAAGGAATATGCGTATCTTATTTATCTGGAGAAGATAAACTAATTACAGAATGGCAGGGAGAAATATGCCAAATTAAAGTATACTTTTAAGTATAGCCATCAAGAAAATATACATTATACCCTTTTCCAAGAGTGTTTGCTTTTGAATAAGAATGCAAAGCAAAACAGGTATGGACATTTGCTAGTAAACAATAGATCGGTTTTGTGCACAGATATTGAATGGGCCTCTCTCTTTATCAGCACAACATGGAAGACTAGAAACAAGGCTTTGAGAGGACTTTAAAAACAAATGACTTTTAAAAAGTTGAAAGATGGTGGTCTTGTCGACTAGGAAATATATGTCAATGCTGTTACAGCTACCTGCCATAAAATGTTGATATCTTAAAGTAGTTAAATGACCAAATTGCTAATGCTACTACAGAAAAAGCTGAACAGCTGTCTAGTCTAAATTTATACACCTTGGTGCACTCTTTGCAATTAATTACTTTAATGCGCACAAACAAGAAACCAGTAAAGCATATAGAAAAATGTTTTGCCTAATGTTTTTCTTTCTCATGCAAATATGTGCTATACATGTAATAAATATAGTTTTGTTTGCGGGAAAATGCTCTTCTGTGTTCTAACAAAATATTCAGTAATGGCAGGTTATATGTTTATTAAAATACTTAATGGATCCAGTTCTTTTAAACGTCTTAACGGAAAGTTCTGTAAGCTTCACTAGATGACAAAAGAACCTCACAAGCCAATATCACATGTTAACTTTTCCTATTTACTGAGCCCATGTTTTAACTGGATCAAGTGTTTGAGATGACATACAGAGTTGTAGCCATCCTCATTATCAGCTAAACAGGTTCATAATGGGGTACACACAGTGAATGTGAAAGGACTTGGGTGGTGAGGTCATAATGTGATTCAATATATGTGTAGTCAGTCAAGAACATGGAATTCATTTTCATGGTCAGAAAAATTATTGAACTGGTGCATGCTTTCAGAGCCTAAATATGAAAATTCTGTGGGGGAAATAATATAATATAGTATTATTATTGTTTTCAAAAATAGGCTTCATGACATACACAGTAGAAAAGGACTTCCTATGCCTGCTCCTGTTGGAGTCTTAGCCATAGGGTGGGCGCCACCACGCCCCTTGTTGGAGTCTTAGAAAATGCATGCATTGCAGACTTTTAGAAATGAGAATCTTTTTGTAAAGATATTTGTGTATTGTACAAAAGGGGGGATTTCAATAATTTCTTGGATCATAGTGAATCTAAGTCTTCCTTGATAATATGAGGTATATTATCCAATTCCATAATTATAGCCACTGGATAAACTGAAGACTTCACAGGTAGAGTGTTCATTTGAAAGAAGGCAACTCAATCTCCAAATTCTTTACAATTCTCTGCATTAAAAATGTTGTAATCTCAGGAAAAAAATAAATTCTGAATCTATGAACATAGATTTTTTTAATGCATGTTTTCAAATTCATCATTTCCTCAACATTTTTCATTTAGTCAATTTGCAAAAACATAACTTTCAGTATCAAAGTGGAATGTGTGCATGTCAAAAAAAAAAATCCTTAGCATGATTTAAATAATTTAGTGAAGGGCCAGTAAAGACAGTGACTGAGTGAAGTAATGGAAAGACACTCAATTATGCTGGCAGGAGATCCTGTCCCCACGTTTGAGTTAAGTGGAATAGATGAATTCCCATCTGGAGATGTTTAGCTCTGCACTGAGGAAGATCTGTACCACATCCTTATTACATGTCTGACTTTGGATTCCTGGATATATGTAGATGTGCTCAGATTGATTAAGAGAGAAATGATATCCCATTTTCCATTTCATATATCCATCTATGTTTGGGCTTTTCTTACTATTCTCTCATTGCTCAAAAAGTCTTGAGTTTTTGTTGTCCTTTTTTTTTTTTTTTTTTGGCCAACTTCTAATGAGTTAACTGGACTGACTAAACAAAAACCAAAGACACTTTGAATACGACAGCTGTGCCAGGGAAGAAATAAAAAGATTAAAATCCGAGAAACTATACGATTTCTGCATTAAGATTTCTGAGTTTTTTTGGCACTATCAATACATTTGGTAAGTTTGAAAAACCACTCTGGCAACATTAACATATATTAAAATGTTTATACAATCCAACTTTAAGTGTAAATTTAGCTTCCAGCAAGTAAATATCATAGCTGGTTTTAGCTTCTATTGGTATTTCGATTTTCTTAATAATTATGTGGTATTTTTTTTCCTTCAGATTTTTTCAATTGATTGCAACATGCTCAAGTAGACTTTCTAGTCAATTCACCCAAATTCCAACAGGAATTGGTTTATAAATTGGTTCCAACTGGAACTGGTCATTTGGAATTTCCAGCATGGGAAATTATTTTATATGTGCCTTGATAAGTACCCTAATTACAAATTGATGTGTCTAAATCTATGAAGAAAACAAAAGGTATTGTTATTATGTAAATGATTGCACTTAAAAATGATTGGGCATCTAATATCCATCTAGATTCAAGGGCATAATGTACATTTTAAATTTGTTTTGCCCATTAGCATCAAATGACAGCAGCCCATAAGCACAGTGAATACTGTGCTGTGCTTGCCAAGGTAAGATGACTGGTTTATCCTAGCAGTGCTATGGCAAATTGTCAACAGATGAATTTTTTTGTGTTTGTTTTGTCAGACTCAAAGCCTATGTCTGGAGTCATGGCTATATCCCCCAGGCGATCCTCGGTTCCTATGGGGTTTGTAAGTGTCCTGGTATGAGTCAGGGTAATCTTCTTCCACCAGAGGGTAATGATCTCGGCTATGTTGGGAACTGGAAGACAAGCGGTTCCTACTCTTCCGAGCCCTTTCATTGTGATAATTTTCATCAGAGGTCATTAGACTTCGTCTTTCAATTGGAGAGTTCTCTGTGGAGTGGTTGCTGTGCCTCATTCGCTGACTCTAAAAATATCACATAGTTAATTAAATAATGTCAGTTTCATTCATCTGAACATGTGAATATATATAGGACAGAAGAATCTGTACAATACGATGCTAAATATCTGATTTAATAAAGCATTTTAATGCACAAATGGTTTGATCAAGATACCTAGTTTTGGGACCAGCAGGTGGCGTGGTGGTTAAGGTACTGGACACTCCCACATGACTGACCATAGTTTGAGTTCTGGACCTGATGGCTTGCTTTCTCACTTTCCCTCTCTCTTCTCTGTGTGTCTCTCTCTAGTCAAATTAAAATAAATGAATAAATAAATAAAATAAAATAAAATAAAATAAACAGTTATTTTAAAAAAAGATATCTAGTCTTATTTATTAGGGATACAACATGTAAATATGCCAGAGCATTGGCCAGAGTGTTGATAGTTTATGAATTTAATGACATAGTACTGTATGACTATGCTTCCTGATAAAAACATAGAATTGAAAGTTAACTGTTAAAAGAAGTTTAATACATTTAGGAAGGCCTAATCTAATTTTATTGCAAAAATAAGGATTATTTTACCATTGGGAAATAAAGTTTAGGATAGCATGTATTATTTTATTCATCTCTTGAACTGATAAAATCTTTCTCCTCCTAAAATAATACATTCCACATTGACCTATTACTAGCTGACTACTCTCTCTCTCTTTTTTTTTTTTTTAAGAGGTTTTTGCCATAGGACATGTGTGCTGACTGGAGAGAGAGGGACAGAGATAGTGAGAAAGTGAGAAATAACCTCCTAGGGGAGATGGTCACGCTGCCATCGTTCCTCCTCCATACTCCTCCTGGGATCTTGGGTACACACACACACACACACACACACACACACCTGGTGTGATTTTTAAGCTATCCGGTCTGGAACTCAAACCATGTAGGAGTCCAGAGACGTAACCACTATACCATCTGCTGGCCCCACTAGTTGAACATTCTTATACCTATTAAAAATATTTTAATAAAATGATTATTTGTGCTGTCTGTAAAATAATGCATTTGTTTCTGCATCCTACATAAATGTAAGAACTTCAAGCAATATTCTTTCCAAAAGAATATATAATTATGGAGCCTTCTAATTGATATATTTATAATTCTTGCTTCCTCAATTAAAATATCCTATAAAAATTATGTTCCATGAACTAGCAGATGGTGTAATGGTTATATCACTGGACTGTCATGTAGCAGACTGTAGTTCTCGTCCTGGACCCAGTGGCTTAAAACTCATACTGGGTACATGTGCACGTGTGCCCAAAATCTCGAGAGAATAGAGGAGAATGGATTAGGGTGTGCCCATCCCCCTGGGGGGTGATTTCTCACTTTCTGTCTCTCTGTCTCTCTGGTGAGCACACACGCCCTACAGCAAAAATTTCTCAAAAAAAATTATCTTCAGATATTAACTACATTTTTCTAATGCCATTAGTAGAAATTAATATTTTAAGACACTGATTTGATGACTCGGAAAATATTATTCAACATTTTTCTTCACTATGGTAAAACTTGTATCTACTTGTATCTATCAGTTTAGATGATCTCAAGTTAAGGAACAGGATTGTAATGAAACCGTGGGCCCAGAAACATCTCCTTGTAAGTACTTTCAGCTTCACAAAGAAGGGAATTCAATTGAGGGGTCACGAACTGTGCTCTTTATATCAGGAAGGTGTTAACAACTAATGCCAATGTTTACTGGGGAAAGTAGGCCACAGGATAAAGGTAATGCATTCACTCATTAGTGGAGCTGGGACAACCACTCCAGGTAGATGTCATGGAGATGATGAGTCCAGAGCACTGTATCCATAAACAAAGTGCAACATTTCATTTCTACCTACATTACATAAGCTTATTGCTTCACGCGCCCACTTCTCATTCCACAGTGTTCGATTCAGAGCCAATCCTAATGAGTCAATGGAAAGGCTACATGCAAATCAGCCCACAGGAAGTAAAATAAAGCAAGAAATAGTCCTGGCTCACACACACATGCCATGCATTGCAATAGTACATTTCCCATGCTCATTTCTAGCCCCCAAAGCTATTCATTTAAATGGCAGCTTTTCTGCTTACAAAGATGCAGTTTTGTAGCAGAGTAATACAGTTATAATAGCGTTTCAGAAAGTGCCATTTATCTCAGAGTTAACTCTACACGATCTACAATTATGACTATCATTATAACCCATTACAGGAAAACTAGTCATGATACAAGAGAGCTCAATGGACTACATGTTCCTCAGTCAGCTGGACGTTTGGCCACATTCCAGTGGCTGCTTGATAAATGGTAAATAATAATTAAGGTAAAAAGGCAACATTCGTTTTGTCATGCTGCCTCTGGTGCCCTAGATCTCATCTGAGTGCAGAACTAGGCGAGCAGATGAGAGAACCTCCCGATCCAGTGCTTATACTCTGTTTCCCCAAAGAACACTCGCCATAACTGACCAAACAGGGCCCTGCGCACCCCCAGGAAGACTCAAGGATCTGTCCCTGCCCCTAAACAGAGCAGCTCTACTTGTGTTCACACTCTGCCTTACGCAAGGTAGAGGGCAGGGTTAGGTAAGGGTAGTCGAAAGGCCTGTCTACCTCCAAATACTTGCTAGTCACGATGTCTGATCATTTCATTATCATATAATTCTTAAGAAGAGCCATGTAGAAGTAATGGACACTTGCACTGAGTAGGCAATTAAGTTTCTTGGCAGGATTTAGACACAAGAGAGATGAATTCCTCCAAATTAAACCATTATAAATTTACAGAGAAGAAAGTTCTCAGGAAAGAGTCAGTCTCTGGGTACCTTTCTCTAGAATAGATCACAACTAGATAACATTTTAGAAATGTTTAATATGATGCACTTTGAACAGGCTCAAAGCTTAACTTTTAAGGTATATAGGGACCTAGATCCCAAATGGTCAACTGAGGTCTGGATCCTGGCCTGGTGGCTTGACAAAACATGCCAGGTGCCTATATATTCATGCCTAAGATCTTGATATGATGGAGAAATGGAGGAAAAAGGATTGTGACATGACCATACCCATGGGGTGGGAGGCTGGAGGGGTTCTGTCTGTCTGATAAGTACAGGGAACCAGTAGTTAGCGTAATGGCTATGTCGCTGGACTTCCCACGTAGTTGACCGCAGTTTGCGTCCCAGACCTGGTGGCTTAAAACTCACGCCAGGCGCATGTGCGTGTGTGCCCAAGATCCCGAGAGGAGAATGGAGGAGAAGGGATTGCGGCGTGACCATCCCCCCTGGGGGGTGATTTCTCGCTTTCTGTCTCCATGTCTCTCTCTGTCTGTCTGGCGAGTGCATGCGCCCTATAGCAAAAATCTCTCAAAAAAAAAAAAAAGTACACACACTCTCTGGCTAGAAAGAGAGAATATGCATTTATGGTTCCCTCTTCAGATTAAGGACAACCCCAGTCTCCACCCTAACTAATCAGGTTCTCTGTAGAATCTTCAATGCAAAGTTATAAAAGGACAAGTGAAATAGTGGCAATACCTGTAACCCAGAAATTGCTGTGGGATATGGTGACAGTGCTGTTGAGCCCAGATTCCTCCCCAGCAGTGGGGTCATGGGGGTGCTGCTGGTTGTGTGGGTGGCACGCCAGTACGCCTCGAGGTACTCTCCCAGATGTTCACATGCATCCTCCAGCTGATTTTCATCCAATATGACATCAAACATTTCCTGTGGATGACAAGAAAACCCCTTTTGTTTCCACTTTAGATTTTAGGCAATGAAAGCTAAAATTCTACTTATAGTAGATAACAGTATTTCTTTTCTTTCTTTCTTTCTTTTTTATTTTTTTAAAGAGAGATTTGCTATAGGGCGCATGTGCTCATCGGAAAGACAGAAACTGAGAAATCACCCCCTTCCCCAGAGGAGATGGACATCCCACAATCCCTTCTCCTCCCATTGTCCCCTCGGGATTGTGGGCACGCACTAACACATGCCAATCCCTTCTCCTCCATTGTCCCCTCGGGATTGTGGGCATGCACTAACACATGCTTTGTGTGAGTTTCAAGCCTCCAGGTCCAGGACTTGTACCATGGTTAGCCATGTGGGAGTCCAGCAATGTAACCATTACACCACCTGCTGGTCCCAATAATAGTATTTCTAATATATACTAACTAACATCGAATTTGAGGAACAAGTGAAGAGTTGCATTGTTAACCTTGTACAAATGCAGACATTTACATAAAAATGAGAGTGCTCAGTGCCAGTCAGTGGAGTAGTAGTTAAAACTGCTGGATCCCACATAGTCGATTGCACGGTTCAAGTCCCAGACCAACGGCTTGAAAAACATACTGGGTGTGTGTGCATGTGTGCCCAAGATCCTGAAGGAAGAATGAAGAAGTGGTTGTAGCATGGCCATACCCCATAGGGGGTGCTTTTTTACTTCTCTCTCTCTTTCTCTCTGTCTCCTTTCGGTGAGCACATGATTCTGGCAAAGTTTAAAAAAGTATTAAAGGTAAAATATAGTGAAAACATATGTATTCATATCTTTATCTGTTTATATACATATTTTTTTAATGAGAGTGAAATATATATTTTAAAATTTAATTTCTTCCATGAACAAGAGAAAGAGACACCACTTCCCCAACAAAGTCTTGACACCATGATCCACTCCCACCCTCAGTCTGCCCTGGATCATGGGCACATGTATGTTCAGTGTACTCAGGGAGTTCTCCAGATGTGAACCTGGAACCTTTCCATGTGGATCAGCCTCACAAAACACTGTGTTTTATTTCTATGCCACTGTCCCCATTAATCCAAATATCCTGATAGAGCTGAATCTTACTCACCCAAATAGATTATGAGAGAAGCAAGTGAATGGCAATCAAAAAGGAGTTCTAAGAATGTTTTGGGCAACGACCGTATCATTGGAATATACATTTTGTCTCCCAAGTAAACTATGTTCAAGGGAATAACTTAGATAGTTTTCAGACTGTGAAAATAATGTTATCTGTCTCCTGATAAAACAATAAGGAAAACAATAAGAATTTTTAATATTAACACTAGAAAACCACATTACAGTGATCTCTGCTACCACAAGATTGTTTTACGAAACTGTTAAAAAAGGAGAGGTTTGATGTAAACAATGGGGAGTCATACAAGAAGAATCTGGTATCCATGTTTCTGTTAATGAGAACTTTGTTCAAAATCTGGCCTGTGATTAGAAAGTTATTCCTCCACTCCAAAGGAGCAGAGTGGTCTCTCTGAACTGCAGTGTGGCTGGGGACACAGACAGGATATACCTGAGACACAGACTCTTCGGAGGGACAGTCAGAAAACCTTGGCGCCTCACAAAGAGAAAGAAAAGCTGTTCCACAGGCAAGTGTTAGCACACCCTAACTTTCAGTACCAGATTGAAATACTATCTCTCTCCCACCACCCCCTTCATTATCTTTATGCATATGTGTGTTTATTTTAAATGAGTGAAATATTACCATTTTATTAAAGTAAGGACCTCCCAGTAGTAAATCAAGTACCAGGTTACTGCCACCAGCACTGGTCTGACTGGCTGGGCTGTAGGTTATTGGCAACTACTGGATGTCATGGAGTTGGTGGTGTCTTGACTGACTCATTCTCTTCAGCGATTAGAACAAGGGTTCCTTGAAGCAGAAGTCACCACAGAAATGATTTCTCTCCCAACATTTACTATTTAAATGTTTCATCACATCACACTTTACTGAAAATTATTACTAAATGGGAAAGCAGTCTGAAGGCCCTTGAGGAGGGCTGGTAAAAGAACAAGTGACTTTAGTCCAAAGTGACCTATGCTTGAGAAGACTCTGCCGGCTCAACTCATTTGGAGGAAAAAATGGAGAGGTAAGATATCTGTGGGACACAGATATGGTTTATTATCTGTTGATAAGGATGTGTACAGTATTCGCAACTGGACAGAGACGTATATCATGCTGGGTAAAATCTGCTTACAATCTAAATGATATATAGTGATCAAATGTATAAATAACAATAATAAATGAAAGTAAATAAATAAAGTTGAATAAAATTTGAAAAAGAACAAACGGAATTAAATAAATAAATAATTCTTTTTAAAAAAAATCTGACCCCCAAGTAGTAAATTCTCGATTTTTTTTTTTTGCATACTTTATACATTTCTAAAATATTTACTCTAAACCTGTTGGGTTGTTGGAAAAGTCATGATTCATGTTTGCACAGAAAAACATGAAAAAAAAATACATGATGACTTTTCCAACAACCCAATATTTTTTCTTAAGCACTGAGGGTATACACTGGCAAAATTAGAGATCAGGTTGTGTTCAAGAAGCACACAGTCTGATGAGAGAGACAAGTACTAAATTCTCTAATTATCTATCATTTAATTCAAAACAATAAAAAGTTGGAACCAGTTAATGTTTGGAGCTATCATTCAAAATTCTAGATTTAGAAGGAGACCTGAAGAGAGAGGTGAAAACTGAACTTACGAAAAAGGGGACATTATGAGTAAATTTTAGAAATTATCTGTAGAAGGAAGAGAATAAAACAGAAAAAAGAAGCAGAAACACAACAGAAGAATATCCAATGCCAGACGGTGCAGCAGCTACACAACTAGATCTGCATAAGAAAGTCCTGTGTCAGGACCGGCAGTTGGTGTAGTGGCTATGTCGCTGGACTCCCATGTAGTCGACTGCAGTTCGAGTCTCGGACCTGGTGACTTAAACTCACGCTGGGCATGTGTGCATCGTGCCCAAGATCCAGAGAGGAGAAAGAAGGAGAAAGGACTGTGGCATGGTCATCCTCCCTGGGACCAGCCTCCCTCACTTTCTGACTCTCTGTCCGTCTGGCAAGTGCACGTGCCCTGTAGCAAAAACCTCTAAAAAAAAAAGGTCCTGTGTCCTAGGACCTCCTTGTGCACTCCGGGCATGCACATGCCCATGATCCAGGCTGAATGAGACTGAAGGAGGATCACAGGACTATAGCATGAGGACCCCGTTGGGTTAGTCTCTTTCTATCTTTCTTTCCATCTCCTGAAAGAAATAAAGTTTAAAAAGTGAAAAGAAGAAGAAGAAGGAGAAGAGAAGAAGAAACAAAGAAAGATAAGGAGAAAAGAAGAAGAGACCATATGGGCAATAAGAAATAGGGAAAGTAGTTTCTCAAGTTTCTGTTAACATATCTTTATGATAAATCCCTCTTTTCCACTTAAGTACCCTAGGAGTGCTTTCTGTTTCTTGGAATCAAACCCCCCTCCTTCTATTAAATATAAACTTTTCAAAGTTACAAATATCAAATATGAGGCTTGTCTGTAACACTCTGATATAAATTGCAGCACTGTAGTGCTCACTTAAGTGGATCCGGAACAGCTCCCATTGACTCAGATGGTACAGGAAAAGAAAGAGGAAACTGGGCAGCACCAAGACAAAGGGCCACTTTCTCAGCCATGCCTGATAAAAGTTTTTCACAAATCCTAGACTTCATGTGATTTGGAGTTTTCTGTTTAAATCATGTAATTTATGTTAACTTCCCTCCACAAAGTGGCAAGTTGAAGTACTCTCAAAGGAACCAGGACTGCAGAGCTCAAAGAACAAAACAGGTAAGCAGGGCCAAGCCTGCAGACTACTGATTAAGGAGCTGGACCCCACATGGTCTACCACAGTTGCAGTTCTGGCCCCAGCAGCTTGAAAAGCACACTGGACATGTGTGTGCATGGCCCATCCCGACAGGATGAAGGAATGGAGAAGGGATAGTGGTATGGCCATGTCCCATTAGGGCACGCTCCCTTCTCCCCATCTCTCTAACTCTCTCTCTGGTGAGCAATTGTATCCTCTGGCAATAAATTAAATACACACAAACACACACAACCCAGGTAGGCAGTACCCAGAGCTGAATGTTATTTGAATGAAATTTATATAATAAGTCTTAAAAATTTCATGGAAAATAAGTATTGGGTTGTAGAAAAAGTCATGACACATTTTTTCTGTTTTTCTATGCCAAATGTGTCATGACTTTTCTAACAATATTATTAAACAAAATAAAAAAGAAACTATACATGGCTTTCAAATATTTTTATGCTAAAATAACTTGTACTTGATTTTCATTTTTCCACAACTGTTTTAAAGTCCCCTTGTTTCTACTTGGCAGTTCTATATATTATATTCTCACTGTTGTAGGCACATTTTTTCTTCTTTTTTTTGGAGACTTTTCTGCTACAGCATACGTGCAGTTGCCAGAAAGACAGAGAGAGACAGAGAGATTGAAAGCAAGAAATCACCCCCCAGGGGGGATAGTCATGTCGCAATCCCTTCTCCTCCCTTCTCCTCTCGGGACCCTGGGCACGCATGCACACGTGACCAGTGTGAGTTTAAGCCACCAGGTCCGGGACTCGAACCGCGGTTGACTACATGGGAGTCCAGTGACATAGCCATTACACCATCTGCTGGTCCCTGTTGTAGACACACATTTAATTACACACGTTTAATTACAAAGATTTTAATAAAGTCCTTATCTGTGCCAATGAATAGAACTTGTATATATCAGCACATGGCTATTTGCCTAAGCCTCTGTCGTCTCTAGGAAATGAAGCTTTTGCACTGCTAAAAGACAGCTCTAAGATGGAAGCTGACTTGAAACTGCTTTTAGGCTTTGAAAAGCACAGAGAAAAGCAAATTTCAGCTTTTCAATGAATACTGACATATGTGGCTTGTTTTCAACTAGAAAGAATT